GCTCAGAGCTATTCATTGAATTAGGAGCGATTATAGCAGAGGGAGCCCCGCGGGTCTTTATTAAGGTCTTTGTGGAAGCACTAAGTGATCTTCAGGAGATGAAAGTACCAGTGGTGTTTTCTTAACATTTATAACCTGCGCTGATACCTGGGGAGTTTGTTTATTAAGGAAAACTCTGCGGCAAACACCCGCCTCCTATTAGGGCCCTCACCCGGGGCCAACGCCAGGGCGGCCCTTGTGGTCCTGAGGGGCTTATTCCAGGGTCTCTGCCAAGTTCTGCCCGTGAGGCCGCCTCTTGGGGCTAAAGGACCTCCCGTCCACTTGGGGTCATGGAGGCGTCCATGTATCTCAGACTTGGACACATTCACGGGCCTGAGAAGCATAGAACAGAAGCCGGGGGTTAAGCGTGCTGCTAATAATCACCATGATTTGATAATGCCACATCTGTATGCATGGGACCTAACCAGTCACAGAGATCCTGAGGTCATTATCCCAGGACAGGTACATACTAACTGCTTAATGAACCTACAGAGTAGGGCCTGGAGTGTGGACGGCCCATCCCGAGGCCAATGGAGGGCTTTGCCACCCCGCTGAGCGCTGCCATTGAGTCCAGGGCCAAGTGCCCCCTCTGCTCAGGGTCTCGTTAAAGTGTCCTCTGTTGACACAGGGGAGCCGGGGCCACCCCTGGATGGGGCAGTCTCCCTCCTTTTGGACCTGGTTTGAAGTTGACCTTTTCCAGGACCTTGTGCTCCTAGAGGTGGTAAAAACACCGTCCCTGGTGCCAAGTACACAGTGGCGTTTTTGTTTGATAGGGGACTGTAGTGAATTGAATGGTGGCCTTTAAGAAACACGTCCACGTTCTGACCTCTGTGAGCTGTGAATACACGTGACCTTATTTGGGAGAAGAAGTCTTTGCAGATGTCATCCTGGATTTAGGAGAGGCTCTACAACCAGTGGCCGGTGTCCTTATAAGAAGAGAAAACAGAAGCAGAGTGAGAGACACAGGGAAGATGGCCACATGTGGGTAGAAGTGGACAGGAGGGATATGGAGCCCAGAGCAAGGAATGCCCGAGGACTTCAGAAGCCAGAAGAGGTGAGGGAGCACTCCTGTGGAGCCTCAGGAAGGAGTGGGACCCTCCTGGCCCTCTGACTTCAGATTTCTGGCCACTTCAATGTGACAGAAGAAAATTCTGTTGCTTTAAGCCACTGAAGTGGTCATAAAAGAAACTCACCTTGCATTCCATGTTAGTCAGCTCTGTGTCACTGTGACAGAACACCTGAGATATTCAACTTATAAAGAGGAAAGGTTTATTTTGGTTCCTGGCTTCAGAGTCTCAGTCCAAGTCCCTTGGCCCTGTTGCTCTGGGCGCATGGCAGCGTAGCACACTACAGCAGGAGGGTGTGGTGGCAGAGGCCTGTTCACCTCGTGGCATTTGAGATGCAGAGAGAGGAAGGACCTGTGTCCCAATATCCCATTCAAGGACATGCCCACAGCGACCTCACTTCTTCCCGTGAGGCAACACCTCCCACATGTGCCACAAGCTAGTGACCAAACCTGCGGCCCATGGGCCTGTAGAGGACGTCCAGATCCCAACCGTAGCAGAGACCCAGAACACAGGCTTGTCCTCAGCTCATTTCCCCTGAAAGCTCTCAGGAAAGTGGGGGGAGGAGGAGTTGGCCTTCCTCTCGAGGGTCAGTGAGGCCCACTCGCTCAGTCCAAACCCAGAGGGCTCCAGGCAGGTGACAGCTGCCTCCCAAACCTGCTGCTGCATGTGTCCCTCACCCCGAGGCTGTGGGGTTTGTTCCACTGTGAATAAACAGAGCTGATGTGACCTGCCTGAGGTCAGCAGATTATGGGGACAGGCTCCCCCAGCGTGTGTGACCTGGTTACCTGGTGCCTGGTCAAACAGCATGTTGCACACCCAGGCAGCTCAGTTTGAAAGAGATTTCTTTTTCTGTTCTTTCTCATCCTTTGGACCCCTGACTCCTCTTCTTCCCTTTTCATGCACCCTCAAAGGTCTGAGATAGTTTAATTTTTAATTTTACATATTTTCACTAAGAATCATTTTTTCCACCTTTTTTATTGGTGCACTGAAGTTGTACATAATGACAGGATTGGTTGAGCTGTATCTGTGTATGTGCACGATATAACAGTATGATATGGCCAATATCACTCCGCAACACAGGAGGAATTACTTTAAACACAGGTATTCCTATGTCGCAATATGTGGGTATTTGTACAAATGCATACACTACAAAATGATTAATTGAGCGTTGTGTGTTTTTATCAAAGGAAACAACGCAAAGATTTCTCCGAAGTCCTGTTTGACTAGAGATGATTAATTTTAATTTTCACATGAGCGGCATAATGCTATTAATCATTTAATATGTTTAATCATAATCTCTGTAATTCCTAATTAGGTTCATTAAACTGAAACATCCAGCAGTTGTGCACGAATCCAAATCTAAGTCCCCTCCTCGTGATGGGAAGGAGCTCGTTTTGGTTTTGCCTTCAAATGTCAGCTTCTCTGGGGCTGGAAAAGTTGGCCTGGATGTTCGGGGGTCTCCACGGCTGCTTTTGCCCACTTAGAGTCCTGTGCTAGGGGGCTGAAGCCCCTCAAGCCCCTGGAAATTGATGGTGTCACGACTCAAGGTCACCTCTGTGCCGTGAGTGTGGGAGAAAGCCTCAGAACTCCAGCGAGGGTCTCGCTCCTGCTCTGTCCCGGTCTCGGAGCTGCCTGCTGCTCTGATGAGCACCTGCAGTGGTCAGGGTGCTCACGCCCTCGGCCAGTCGGTCCCTGTGTAGGCAGCCGCTAAACAGGACATTTACTCCTCGTGTCACTGCTGGTCACTCCTGCTAGGGTCATCAAGCTGCTGGGAAATTCAGACGCTTGCTCTGTGCACAGGGTCTCTAGAGAGCCAAGCCCCTGCCTCCTCGACTTCCTGTCCTTCACGTGTGCCCCCTCTAACTAGCGACATTAAGGTCCTCCTGGGCCTCTGCACCCTAAGCATCATTTCACATCCCTGTGTGTTGCAGGCTTCTTGCTCTCTTGGCCGGCTTCAGTCCCCTTAGGCCTTAGTCATCTCCCACTTCAAACTGAACCTCCAGCATCGCTGTGCCTTTGGATCTCTGGCTGGGCTATGTCCCTGCCCTAAGGTCACCCAGCCCTGTGCGATTCGCTCTCACCCCAGCACGGAGCCACCTGTGTTGATAATTGTCTTTTTCTGCCTTTCTCTTGCACTCACCTGGGAACTTCATGGGACGGAGAACTGACTTATGTGGTCAGCCCATAGCAGTTGCTCATTAAAGGTGTGTCGAGTGAGCGAATGAGAAGCTTTCCCCTGTGTTTCCCACGGGAGCTCTCCTCCTCTCTTGACGTTCCTGAAATCATCGTCACTCCATACAGCGGAGCACTCTGCACGCATCATCGTATGCCATGGCCAAGAGCAACCCCGAGCTGGCACAGATGCCGGCGTTCGGTCTCCACAAAGCCGTGCGAGGGGCGCAGGCTCATTACCTGTCATGCTCTGGTTAAGAGACTCAGGCCATCCTTCTTCCTGTCCCTGTCACGGCACAGGCAGAACGACTTCCTCATTGTTCTCATCCTGGTGTTGCCTTGCACGTCGAAGAAGTCACCTGGGCGGACGGTCGATACCAGTGCCGCTCAGAAGAAGGGTTTTTTCAGCCCGCAGGAGGTCTTGACTTTAAGATGCAGTTCGGGGTGCGTTTGGAAAGAGAACGCAAATGAAATCGTCCACTAAATACCAGGGCTGATGAGAACGTCGCTAATGAAGCCCGTGTGATTTGGATGTTTCTTTTACATTTCACTCTGTAAGATTGTCTCCTTTGCTAAGTCTCCATTATTTTACACCTGGCTGCCTGCATTGATGGTTTTGTCTCGGTTATATGCTTCTAAATGGCTTATAAATAGGTGAGGATGATTCCTTGCTCATAAATTCGATGGGCTTTGGCTTAGACTCTCCATCTCCCACTTCAAAGAAGTGGGTTATCTGATGTCGGTGGCACCGACTGCCCCCTCTAGGCAGCATAAGCGAATTGCAGAGAAAGTACCTAAAAATGAAGTCTATCTGAAAGGATACCAGCTCAGTAATACCCCATAACTGTGTCTTCTTCCCAGTTCCAGCCTTTGCAAGGATTTTAGTGTACCCTCATGTTATCCAGGCTTAACTTTTTGCAGGCAAGGGCAGGTGGTGGTGGGGGGGGGGGTAATGCATTACACTCGTAACCTTAGGTCATCTGTGCCAGTGTAGCCTGGCAGAACTTTCTACGGAGATCAAGTCCTCTGTCTATATCTCCATTGTCCAAGAGGGAACCACTAGCTACATGTGGCTGATGAGGACTTCAAATGCAGCCAGTGCAGGCAAACACATTTTGCACTTTTAAATTTAAATTCACTTAAATTTAAAAGGCAAATGTGGTCAATAGTGGAAGATAGCACCGGTCTGTACAACTAAGAAACTGAATTTGACCCTTAAAAACAGATCATCAGCTGATTCCTTGAGCTACAGAATGCTGAATGGCATTTCCAAATTTGGGGCATTTCTTAGTGTTTTTTCAGTGCACCTCAGTGATTAGGAAGGTATATCTGAAGACTCGGAGCCACACTGGTTAAGGAATAATGATAACCTTAATGACGACTTTGGCACTGCCCCAGCCCCTCCCCCTTCCCTTCCTTAATTTTCTCCACTACCTCCACATCTCCTCTTTCCAACTCTACATTTGTTAATGGGTTTTGTTCTCTTTCTCCCACAAAAAAAATCATGCTCCACATAGGCAAGGGTTTTGCTCTGCGTTTCTCTCTGCCGAATTCCAGATCCCAGTGGATGCTCAAAAAAACACAGGTGGAGGGACATCTGAGCACTTCCTCCTCTTGTTCTTTTTCTGCCGTTTTGTCTACTGTGAGGGGGGTGGGGAGGCTTGCCTGGGACAGAGCATCTGGGTCCACTCAAGAGACTCTGCTTTCCTCTTGTGCCTTTAGCAGACAGATGACGCAGCACCACCGGACGGCCAGCCCCAGACGCAGCCTTCTGAAAACACAGAAAACAAGTCTCAGCCCAAGCGCCTGCATGTCTCCAATATCCCCTTCCGGTTCCGGGATCCAGACCTCCGGCAAATGTTTGGTGTAAGTACCGCCTCTCTCCTCCAGCACCCCCAGAGCTCGCCTCCTCCCGTGAGTTCTGTCTGCGCCCAGTACTAAGGTGACGTATGTCCCCGGGGTGGGCGGGGGCGTGTTAGAGGCCGTCTGCTGGAACACGGTGCCCAGGACCCCTCTAGGGCTGCAGTAGATCTGTTCTGCTTAGGCTCACTGTGTTTCTATTTTGCCAAATGGTTTTCTAAAAAGTAACTTGAATATCAAATGGAAAATGAACTTTAGATCACCCACTGTTGACACAAGCCCATTGACGATCCCAAGCTCAGTGGCCTGGGAGCTCAGGTCATAGCTAAAAGAAACATTGGCCATCATCATGGTCCTGCTTGCTATTGAGGTGGCCAGCTTTTCCCGGAAAGGTGACTCCTGACATGTTTCTGCGTTTCCCCGCTCTTTCCCAGGCACTGATCATTTAAGTTTCGGGACACGGCTGCAGTAGGATGATTCCTTCTGCTTAAAACTTAGTTTAAAACAAAGAAACAAACAACAAGAACAATGACAATCCTCCCCCCGCCCAGGTATAATTCATTTGATTTGATTCTTGCACTTGGCATCAGGGACAAGGACTCAGAGTTGTTGACAAAGGACAGCCTTGCCCAGGCACCCTGGTGAAACAGAACGGGTCAGAAGCCACCACCCACCCCGAGAAAATAAACGACAGTTTTTCTCGCTCACAGGTCATCTTGACACTGATTCTTTTTCTGGAAGGTATCTGAACGCTCCACCTTGGGAAAGGATGAGTTTGACATCTCTCCATCAAAGGACAAAGCCATGAGAGGACTCGGGTAGTGTTTGCTCTTTGCAGATGTGGTCAGTGCCTTTGTCCACAATGTCTCAGCCATGGTAGTGAGGGCCTGTGGATTCGATGAAAAGAACTACGTCCTTAACATTTGATTTCCAGCAAAAGTGGGCTGCTTGGAGACCCTGCTAAGAGTAGGTGGATGCATGCCAACATTACGGAAGGAGCCAGAAGTCACTCAGTGAATGCCTTGTTCTGAGCAGAGTTGGTATTGTTCTCTACATGAAAAGGGGAGCTCGGGGTCCTCACTCAAGGGCTCTGTGATTTGGGGCTGAGCTTGTACCTTTTATTTCTTTAACACACATGATGCTTATCAAGTATGCATTTGACACAAAAGCAGAACAGGCATCCTAATATTTAAGATACCCAGGCTCGAATCCTGACATTTCGGAGGAAAAGGTCAACTTCTGCACTTTTATCTCTCTCATTTGGTAATAACCTTGAGTTAAGCCCTCTAACTCTTGCAGAACAGAGATACCCTTGGGCACTTTCAGGTCAAAGATGACTTTGAAAAGTGCAGACCATTCAAAGTTAGAGTCTGAGGTTAAGTGTGTGCAAAGCAGTGAGACGGGTTTTGAATGATGGACAGTCAGAGGAATTATATTCTCTTTGCAATGTCAGGTTAGAAAGACGTCTTGCTGTTCGGCCTATCTTCCCTCATCAAGTGACACTCTGATGCGGGCTTTGAACTCGATCCCCTTAATGACCATCCTGAAACTCTCCTGGTGTCCTGTGCATTGGCACACCCCCATTTCCACCCTTTAGGGCGGTTTCCCTCCCTGGTCTTGAAATTTACCTGAGTCTACATTGTGAAGTCAGAGTGGTATTCAAAACATTCACAGCTAGAAATCACAGAGAGGGGATCCTGCTTACATTAATGTCTGAACCTCTCTGTTCTTATACAGGCAGGGCAGATGTCTAGGAAAAGAAACTTGCCAAAATGTCACACTACCCGTTATCAAACCTTGATCAAAATCTACTGGTGTCAGAGCATCTTTTTTTTTTAAGTCAACATTCAAGTAATAACAAGATGTCGATTCAGCAAGAGGATAAAAACACTTAGGATCTATCAATTAAGAAAATGCAGTTACATTCATTAACACGGAAATTAATTCTGGGCATCACATACAGCATCTGTGTCCATTTTAAAAAGAATGTGAGGGTTGTTTTTTTTTGTTTTGTGGGACTCAACTATAAAAATTACTGGGGACATCTGGATTCCTGGGCCCCTTGCAATAACTCTGAGGCCTCCTGGTTTACAACATCATTCTAAAGAAACACAATTTAAGCTCTAAAAATCTGTTCTTCTTGGCCAAACCCTGGTGGTCGCAAAGCCGTATCTTGTTATAGGATGCGTTTAGCAGCGTGAATCACACTGAAAGGCATCTGTGACACGCTGGCTGGCTCTCTGCTGGGCTACAGGGGATTTAACATAACTTCCTCTTTCAGGTCATGGTGACTGTAAGAAATCCCATTTCATCCAGCTAGGAGTTTGTCAAGTCCTAGGGACACGAGACATCTTCATGTCTCAGGCACTGTGTCCATCTTTGTCCCCTCACTTTGGCAGGGGTCACAATGAGGACAATTAGAGAAAAACACAAAGATCGTTCTGCTCCCACCCCCTCGTCTCCTTTGTCAAAGTTGGCCATGGAGATTTCACAGTTGAAACAAAACCAAAGGCAGGCACGATGACACACATGGGTCATCCCAGTGGCTTGGGAGGCTGAGGCAGGAGGATCACAAGTTCAAGGCCAACCTCAGCAATTTAGTGAGACCCTGTCTCAAAATTAAAAAATAAAAAGGGCTGAGGATGTGGCTCAGGGGTTACGTGCCCCTGGGTTCAATACCCCAAACCTCAGCTAGTACCAAAATAAAAATAAAAATAAAACCCCAAAACAAACTAACAAATAAAAAATCAGGACACAAAAAACAACCTCTTTTTTTTTTTTTTTCAAATTGCCTAAAACTTGCCGCGTTCATGACGCCTTCTGGAACCATCCCTGCTTCTGAGGGTTCCTCAGGCGGTGCCCCTTTTACTTCGGTGGCTGCAGCCTCTTCACTGGGATTGGAATCCTGGTTCCTCCCCCCACCCCCACCCGCCGTCTCTTCTTCCCTTTACTTCCTTCTCTTTAGGATGCTCTTCTTCCCATGTGTGGCTTCTAATCTTCTGGCTCATGTTAGATTTCTTTTTCCTTTTTTTCATATAAGACGGGCCATTCATTGGTCAAGGAGTTAGGTGGCTACTGTATACAGAAGCCAGGGCCATTCCAAGGCAGCAGGGGGGCGCGAGCACGTGGCTGTCTCATAGTATTAGGGGCCATGATTCCAGACATCTTCTGGAAGCTTTATTGGTCCAGCCCTGGCTGCCTTCCTGTTGGGTGTGTCTGCATGTGAGGGATCCTGCATTCAAGTTTTTGATCCCATGAAAGAAATTTGAGGATTTCCACCAAACTGATTGCAGTGTGTTCCTCCCAAATAGGAATTTTCATGAGTTCAATATCTTAAATGTAAGCATTTCTGGGTTTGGGATGAGAGGCACGGGTCACAGCACAGCAGAATCTCTGCAACAGCTCACACCATCATAAAGTTGTTTGCAGAGACAGTTGCTCGATGACTCCGGATCTCCAGTTTGCAAAGAACTCTCATGGATGTCACAGCCTTGCTTTTGTTATCAAGATGCCGACCCTCTGGGCAAGAGAAGGAGCCACTCAAGTTTCTACTTAATGTCACTGACAAACAGAGGTACGATTTGTCAACATGTGTGAAAGATGCTTTCATGATCTCACCTGATGAATATAACGGATGGGCTTCCTCGTACCTGCAATGAGAATGCAAAGTTCCATCTACCGTGGTGTCATGAGGAGTGAAGTCATTTTGGGGGACATGGCAAGGAACCCCCTGCTTCTACACTGAAGCAGACCTTAGGGGAACTGGGAAGTCCGTGCTCTCTTAGGCACTCTGCCCACGCTTTGAACTAACCTTTACCTTCGTGTTTTATGCTGTATCCATTGCACATCCTTCACAGTTTTTCAGAGAAATAGTATTTGATCTGAGGATGTCTAAAAGTGCTTGGTACATGTTTGCCCAAGTGCGTGCTGCTAAGCTTCCGGATTTTGCTCTTGATACGGCGACCGGGATTCCGCGTGGATTGGAGACTTTATTGAACGCGGCTGCCGCACACCGCGGTTGAGCAGACGCGCACACTAGTTAGGGCTGGGATGAGTCGTGTCTGTTGAAATTGAAAATGTGCCAGCTGTGTTTACATCATTAGCACCAAACTTCCCAATTAAACTGTTGATACTATAAATATAGCACACAACTGTCTTAGAAATGGGGCTTGCGTTAGCATTCTTCTTTGGGCTCGTTTCTCTGGCTTGGAGAACCATCAACCCCGTGGCAACTGCCAAAGGAGGGAACCTCTGAGATCTTTGCAGGACACAGCGTGTCATGGTTTCATTTAGGGAGCAACCTCTGCTGAGATTGCTTTGTGATCGGTTCCCTCCTCCAGCAGATCTTATTTCAAAGGAGGTTTTTTGGTGTCCACTGCTTAGAGAGGGCTCCCCAGTACATTTGCTTCCTGGTGGTGGAAGAAGTCCTTCTCAGGCTTCCCTTTGCATAAATCTGTGTGCTCCTGCGCTCTCAGGCCTGAAATACATAGGTCACCTCTGTGAGAACTGAATACTGAGGGCCTTGTGTCAGAATCCCTGACCTCAGACCTCCTGAAGCTGGAGGGCTCTTCACCGTGAAGACTCGGTTCACCTTTCCACGCCCGGTCCTTCCTTTCCCAAGCCAGGAGGTTTTCTTCTCTTCTTTTATCATGTTCTTTCTCTGACCAAAACTTGGCAGTGAAGATGCTAATTAAAAAAAAAAAAGAAGAAGAATATTTCTTTGACCCAAAGAACCTTTGTCCACAAATCACAGGGTGAGTTTGCTGCATGCTTCTTGGAGGGCAGTCTGCTGTCCCCACCAGTGGTGCGTCCTGCATGTCCTCTCTTAGTTACTCCCTGTCCGTTCCCTCGTCTCCGAGGTGAAGAATGGCTTGTGCTCAGGGAGGAGAAGACGGTGATCCCCTGCCTGGGTAGGATAAGTTTCTATGGCATAGAATGATAAGCCCCGAGTTACTTTATTCCATAGCCAAAATAATTTTCAGAGGTTTAGAGCTACCTACAGGCTACAGGCCTGTGTTTGTGTGTGTTTTCTGTCTTTCCAAGGAAGGCAGACTTCCTTGTGTGCTCTAAAGGATAGCCCCTGGGTGTTCCGAGGGGTCTTTCCTGGATGTTAGAAGGCTCCCCTTGACCTTTGCTCTCTGGGTCTCCTGATGCTCTCCAAGTGAGGCACATGGGTCAGGTGAGCTGTCCCTGGCTCTCTGTTTTCACTCTGTGTCCCCTTTCCACACTGCTGGTCCCTAACCCCACCCAGTCCTCTGCCCTCTGCTCTAAGGAGCACGCTTAACTGGTCCACCCATGGGAGAAAGATGAAATACTCTCCTAGTGCAAGAGAGGTGCCATTAAATCTCAAATGCACAAGCAAATGGAATGAATGATAGGGAAGCACAAAATTAAAGAAAGATAGAGGAGAGATGTTTCTTTATGTCCTTCTGTTTCTTTGTTCTCGTCACTAAGACGGGCATTTGTTCCACTACATGATGAAGCGTCATTGGACATCACCCCATCCATCTGCATTAGCGGTATGTGCTGGACCCAAGAAAGGGGATCCCTACTTCACAGGGTAGAAGAACCCTGACTCCAAATTCCAGGGAAGGCACTTGGGGTCATCAGGTGGCTCCATCCTCAGAGCCACATCCTGTTTCCAAGTGAGAATCAAGTTACTAGGTGCACACTTCTCACGAGCAGTTCCAGATTTCACAGGTTAAAAACCAAAACGGACAAAAAACATATTCGTTGAATTTGAATTTTAGGCAAATAACACATATTAACCATAAGTATGTCCTAAGTATTTGATGGAACATACTTATCCTAGAAATTCTGAAATTTAAGTTGGACAGGGTGTCTATATTTTATCTGTCTGTCCAATTCATTGGTTTCATTTTTTCACTTTATTTATTTTTAAGACAGAGTCTCGCTGAGTTGCTTAGGGCTTCCCTGAGTTGCTGAGGCTGGTTTTGAACTTGTGATCCTCCTGCCTCAGCCTCCCGAGCCAATGGGATTACAGGCGTGTGCCTTCACGCCTGGCTTGTCCAATTTATTTTTAAACAGAAACTTTCTTGCAGACTTTTCCTAAAGCCTGGTTGTGTTACTGGTCTAAAGCTGATTTCTTTAGCCATATGACTGTCCCCTAGGGAGGGAGGTCACACTTCAGTCTGGGTCATCATGGCTGGGTGGATGTCTTGGTGAGGCTGGGTACCTGGATGGTGGACTTGCTTCCGCGTCTGTAGTTGACTTGCCTCACATGGTCTGGCTGTTCTTAGCTTTGATGTGAGCTCAGAGCCCACACCCTCACCATCCTACTGTAGCTGGACATTTAATTATCAGAATCCCACAGCATCCAGCCTGTGTCTCCGAGAGGCTAGTGGAATCACCTGGGAGGGTCATTATCTGGACTCACCATTTTAAATCTCTGCTGCTCAGTGCCTGGGAAAGCTCTCGTGCACATGAAGAAAGGAACGCAGAATTAACCTTCCAATTAATATTTTGTACCAGGCCCTGATGGGACACCTCACCTGGTAGCGAAGGGCCACTCAAGAGATGCTATGTGTGGATGTGGTTTTTTTTCATGTTTCAAATGTATTATTTACTAGTAGAAAATATAAAACGTGTATCCTTGATATTAAATGAGGGAAGAAAAAATCTAAATTTGGGGAACAGTTATACCAGTGTGCATCATACAATTTAGTCCATTTCTCTCTTTGCTTATAAAATATTTCTATTTCTTTACAGCAATTTGGTAAAATCTTAGATGTTGAAATTATTTTTAATGAGCGCGGCTCAAAGGTAAGCAACTTAATTCATGTTAGAATTGTTTAGTTTATTATAACATGTTTGCTCTGAATAAGGGGAAACAACTGCACTGTTTTAATCCGCATATTGTGGAAATACACGTCAATGGGAATTTCTTGAGAGACCCCTGCCCATTTCCAAAGTGGTGGGAAATCCACTGGGGTCAGTTTAAAAACGTGTAGGGGGTAATTTAAAATTGCTGTTTTCTATATATACATATCTCAAGTTTCCAGAGGAAAATTACCCATGCTTAAAAAAATAATGCTGTTGCTACATTTTTGTTTTTCAGTGATAATTATGTTCTTTATATTAAAAAGTGAGTTGATAGTCTCACGAGCAGGTAAATATTGTGATTATTCTGTATTAATAAAGTGCAGTTATTTTCCTGGGTCGTAAGGGAGGAACTCTCATATACACCAACCTTTTGAATATAATTTTATTCATTAGCGTGTTGCAATGTACCATTGCTTTGAGATTGCTTTTGTTTAGGAAACCCAATTTTTTAATAGATTTTTTTTTCTTTTCCTGGAGCTAATGTGTTAGCACAAGTCAGGCAGGGGCTTATATAAAGAGGTTCCAGCACTTTTTCAAAAGAGAAATATGTTGGAAGAAGGAAAAAGCAGAACTCTCTCAAGGCATGCTCTCTCTCAGTGGCTAAGTGTGGTCCCAAACCAGGAGCATTAGCATCACCTGGGTATTTGTCAGAAATGCAGATTCTTAGGCTCAAGCCAGGAGCTACAGAATCAGAAACTCTGAAATTGGAGCCCAGCCGTCAGCATTGTAACAAACCTTCCAGATCTGTCTTGCCAGGGACAAGCACAGTGGCTTTCTATTTTGGACCCGGGTCACAGCTTCACCTGAATGCAGAATATCCCTTTGGCCAATCTTGTTCCTGCTTCCATTGTCCCTAAAATATCCCCTTCTTACAGCTACCACAGAAAATTCAAGATCCCCGTCCAAATCTCCCTGGAGGAGACAAGGCACAGGCCTAGCTGCAGACACTGGGGAGAAACAGGGAATGACGTCAGAAAAGGACAGGGATGTTGGCTGCAGTGACCAGAGAGCCAGCCTTTAACAGCTGTGCTGTGTTGGCTAGCTGCCACGCCCAGGTCCGTGGGAATTTTACGTTTCCCTCTCCTATGAAACTGGATGTTGACAGAAACTGCTCACCAGGTACAGAAATGCTAATTGGGCCCCCTGACTTTCCTTTCGCAGGCAATGTGGGACAATTTAGGGTCCAGGAGGGTCACATCAGTGCTGGTTTTATCCAGTGTGTCTCGGGCCACAGAGCCGCTGTCCTGGGTCCATAATCCATCCTCCCCATGAGGCAAACATTGGACCATCTGTACCCTCCTCCCTCCTAAGTAGATTTCATATTAAATGAATAGGACAATATTGATCAAATGGAGGAAAGAAAATTCCAGCATTCTCTCTGCCACGGACAAGATGATATGATGATCTGCCAGATGAATTAAAAAAAAAATCAATCCGTTGTGCTCCATGGTTTTGATCATTCAGGGACTTTGTCTTTCTTCTCCAACTTCAGGTGTTTTGCGGTCATTCTCATCACAGGTGGGTTTAGTTTGGCCTCTTAGCTGGGGCTGAGGGAGCAGTTAACCCTCCTGCATCTTGTATGAAAATCATGACCCAGAGGGACTCCTTCCTCATCTGCAAAGCAAAGCTCCGGCCTGATGCTCTCCACACTGGCCTGATGTCTTCTTGGGGGGGGTCTTGGAAGATGCCCTGATGTTGGCCTGCTGGTTCTAACCCTGAGCCGGCCTATCGTGCCCCTACTTTGAAAGTTTTTGTTGTTGTTGTTGTTGGTGGTGGTGGTGGTGTTTTTTTTTGTTGTTGTTTTTTTTTTTTTTTTTGTTAACTTGCTTTTTTGGTAAAACTTTTCTATTGAATTCATATTTTGTTTTGTAACTTTTGCCAGTTGAAAAAAGCTATTGAATTCTTTTCCAGAGCTGTTTGGGGACATTAGAAGAATATGGTTTGCTATTTTGAAAGTACAATGGTAGTGCTATTTTTGAGCTTCTTTCGTCATTCCCATGATTAGCCTGTCTCTGGGGGCTTTGGGAAAAAGACCATTTAAGTTTGCCACATCCAGAACCTGGCTTTATTAGGCTTTTTTTTATTTTTACCCCATTTTTCTTTTGCATTAGGAAGCATCCAAAATAACCTCCTTCTCTCAGTGGGTAGCTCCTTCTCAGGAGCTGGCCTTGTAGGGGTGGGAGAGGATTGGTCAGGTGCAGCTGGAATGTCACTGAGACAGTCCAACTGGGAGCTAGCTGCTAAATGGGGGCAGGGGCTCCCACAGGGATATTTGTCACACTTGACATTATCTTTCATGGGAAAGGGCCTTCTTTAGAGGAGCATTTTCATTTTAGTGGTTAAGAAAACTGAACTGTGTGATGACCTTATTTCTATCACTCAGTGCAGGAGAGACAGCCAGGAGGTGTCGGGCCCTCTTGGGCCAAGACTCCCCTTGTGGCCACTCATTCTCTGTGGTGCAGTCCCTGAGGCAGGCCACTTAGTGCCAGCAAGGACGGACGGCTCTGTGCATGTGTGTGCGTGTGCATGGGCACCTGTGCATACACTGCAGCCTCCGGGATATTCTGGGAACATACAGCCTAAGTAATTTAGGAAAATACAGATACCGACTATACAGAAAAGCCACAGGTACAAAAACCCACTGGGCTTTGAGAACCAGAGTTGGATAGCTTTTAGGGTTGGGAAACCCACTCCCTTTTTCTTTTTAGAAGATTTAAATCATTTTGTTTATCTCTGCATGGTTTGGGGGAATACAGCCAGGTTTAATGGTAGACCTAGGAAATACGCAGTCTGATCTTTGACTCCGTGTATATGCAGGTATTGGACACAGGGGCAAGACAGAAGTGCTTCCTGTCCTCAGAGGTTTTCCTGAGCACAGGGAGAGACAGATGGTGAAGACAAGCCATGGCCATTAAATGTGCCGTGTCCCTGGCTGATGGGAGAGGCCGTGAAGATCCAAACAGGCAGACCGGTGTGGTTAGAGATTGGGAAGCCTCTGGAAAGAAGGGACTTGTGAGCCAAGAGTGGGGATGAGTGGACATTGGCCAGGCAGGAGAAGGCAGGAGGGGTAGACAGGATGCTGCTGCTCGTGCCCAGGAAAGAAACTCAGACCCTCCCCTACCTCTCCTCTCGGAAAGATCAGTTCCCTGCACCAGAGACCAAAGGCCTTGATTATTCACACAGACTGAAACACCATCCCATTCATCCATCCCGGCGGCTCAGGACCTTTATCTAAGATATAGAATGGGCATTTACATAAATACAAAAAAAGGAAGGTGTCACCTAAAACTCCAGAGATCAAAAAGGCAAAGTGACTGCAGTCGAGGAAGGTCAGAATTGATGATCCACAGAAAGGTTTTAAAATAAGCCAGTCACGCTGGTCTGGCCGCCCATCTGGGGGCCCCTGTCACCTGGCCTGTTGATCATGCCCGCCCATCAAAGGGCGGCACAGATGTCTTCTCTGCAAGAAGCACTGAGTCCTCTCTCCACTCCAGCCCCCTGTCACAGTTGACCCTGGGAGGCTACCTCTCAGATGAAGGGCAGTGGCCACCTTCTGGGTGGCCCCTCTTCTTGCACTCTTCCTCTTTAAGGGGTTCCGATACAGTAGCTCATGTGGTCCCTGCACTCCCCAAGCCAAGTCCAGAGTAGGCTTGTTTGTTCTCCTTTTTGAGACAGAAAAAAACGTGGCGATCTTTTTCAAGAACTGCAGGTTGCTGATTTCTTGAGATGCAGTTCTGACTGCGAGGCAGGTCAAAGGCAGCAGCCGTCCAAGCCAGCTGGGCTAGGGAGAGAGTGTCCTTGGCGGTGCGGAGGGCTGCAGGCCTCTCTCTGGTCCCAGTGCAGCTCCCAGGTAGGAACTTGATGACCTCGGACCTGGGAAGGCCGTGCCACTCTGGCCTGAGCGGGAGATGGAAATTTCCAAGGAAGAGGTTAGGAAAGCCTGTTTTGGTATTGGCAGGACTATTTCTGGGGCGAGCTGTGTTTCAGACCCAATCTTGGCAAATCTCAAGGAATCCCCTCTGTAGCTTATAGTGAGGGGACAGGTTTGGAGTTTTCCCTTGTAGTGTAGGCACTTTCCTTAGGATCCCAAAGATGCTTCTAGCTCACCTTCACCTCTCCTTGATACACGGCATGCTGATTTCAGGCCAGCAGGATTCACAGTGAGACACCAGAGCTTTCAGGATAATGCAGGGCAGGGGTGCCCAGAGGTCAGCTCACCTAAGCTATTCCTCCCCACCACGGTAATAGAGGTGGCTGGTCCCACAGAGAAAAAGGATGTGGCCTAGCCCTTGGACATTGCAATCTTCAAGGTACCCCTACATCTAAGCACCAGATGAGAAGTTATAAACTCAGCCTGCCCCACAGATTACTCCATCAAAATGAGTGATATAAAATTCTACTGATTACAAGAAACCAAGTCCTTCTTTTGATAGCACATGGGGTGACAAGAGGTCATGGATATCTCACAGCTTTTTAGGCAAACAGATTTCTGGGCTCCACTCGGGGATTCTGATCCGGTAGACAGGACACAGTGCCCAGGAATCTGAATGTTTCCCAATCTTTCCTATTCCTTCTGATGTTTAACTAGGTTTAGGACCCACTGGCCAAGAGGTAGAACAGAGAGAGAGGAGGAAAAATCTGTCTCTTTCCTTTTGCAGAACTATTTGTTTTTCAAAACTATTTAATTAACAAGTTTTTTTTTTTTTGGCACCCAGTTTGGAAGTATACAAAACTAGGCAGAATCCTTCTTTTGTGGAACATGTAATCTTACATTGACCACATAATTCAGGCTTCTTCCGATCATAAATCTTTACTCTGGGAAGGATGGTAAAAGTTATTTCATCCAATCTCCCAAAGTAAAGAAACTTAATTTTTCTTTAAATGTGAAATCCTGACAAGTGACCATCAATCGACCCTCTCTTGAACACATCTACAGCTCCTGTCTTCAGTGGATGAGTCCAAACTTACGGGCAGAAATTCATCTCTGACTAGCCCATGGGCAGCCTGTCTGTAACAGCCTTCTATTTGTGGGTCATGGTAGATTCCTGTAGAATCAGGAGCTAATATCAATTGATCATAGCTCCTTACCTATTGGTAATTACTGCACATTTTATCAGTAAAACCGAACATTGAACTGACTCACCTAAGCAGTTAGAGCAAACATTTACTTACCTTGACGTAAGGTTTACCCAGCTCAAATAGAATCCCAACAGAACCCATTATTTCCCTCGCTTGACACTGAAAACCCAAAGAGCTGGGCAAATTTACACTGGAATTGTTCAAAAGGTTGGTGTACATATTTTTGAACAAGATGTACAAATGTGTTTAGGGGTTTAAAAAAATAATATGTCCTATTTTCTGTACTCTTCTTAGGAACAGTGTGAGGTGGAGACAAAAGATGGATTTTGACAGGATGAAGTTTAGTGGGGTTGGTTTTTGAGGCTGAAATATTAGAAGCGATATGTACCTGTGGTGAAGCCAAGGGTATATTTGTCCTACATCAGGGAAAGGGGAGGAGCTCAGAGTGTTACTCTAAGTCACATTTTGTCCGTGGAGCTTCTTAAGATGCCACCTGTTGCTATGACAGGTGAATACCAGCATAGCGTCTTTGAACTTGACTATACATATACACATTTTCCCTTTTGAGTTAACAAAGTCATGTGAAAATTTGTTCGGTTCAAAAGCATGGATGTTATTCAGGGGGGTGGGGGAGGTATGAATATAAGCCATTCCTTGAATTATTTGCACTATTGATCAACAGAAGTTTCTTTCTATTCATTTCATGTGATTATTTTTGTTTATCCGCTCCAAGAGTTTAAGATTTATTATTATCTATATTTTTTTTTAAAAAAAGGTCTTTCCTTTTTTTTAGGCTTTGAATTTTTTTTTTTTTGAGAAGTAAAGGCTGTAGAATTGACAAATTCGAATAACCCTAAGGTTGCATGAGGAAGAGGTGTTTTAAAAACCACACCGCATGACTCCGTAGGCAATGATGGAGGATTTTGGCATTCACTGTTGAATTCTGTGCACACGTTTTACTTTATTATTTTATTTTTAATTTGCATGTCCAGAAAGTGGTCCCCTTTTCTTTCTTTTCTCGTTATCTCATTTTATTCTCTGTGAAGACACCGTAACTTTATTTTGATCTCATTTTCTTTCCGTTACGTTTCCTTTCTTCTGTAGTGCCGTTCAGAAGGGTATTTTTTTGGAATCGTTCTTGGAATTCTTCCTGGGGAGGGTGGGGTGGGTACAGCTAACCGGTGACAGACAAAACAATCTTGTTCACATTGGTCGCTTAATAATTGCACATCTTAGTACTCTTATAATTTCTCTAATTTGCATGTTACAGAACTGAAGTCAGGACGAGGAGTAGAAATTAAAGCGAGAGAACGTGACGAAGTGGTCGTTGATGGAAATAATAATATGCATGTTGTTTTCCCTTCTCCCTCCTGCATGCAGGGATTTGGTTTCGTAACTTTCGAAAATAGTGCCGATGCGGACAGGGCGAGGGAGAAATTACACGGCACCGTGGTAGAGGGCCGTAAAATCGAGGTGCATGTTCAAAATATTTTCCTTTTCATCTTTTTTATCAATGTCTGCTTCACGCTCATTTGTTGTTCCGGATGCATCTTTGGCGTCTTGTATGTGACCCCACTCCCTTCTCATCGTTTATATATATATATATATATATCTATCTATATATAAAAAGGAAAACTGGCCTTACTTTTTTGTTGTTGTTGATTTTTTACTTTATCATGTTAATCTTATTACTGCTGAAAGGTGGATGGCAAAAGTGAAACAAAAGAAAGGTTAATCGGAAAGGTTTTTTTATTTTTTTATTTTTTAATTTTATTTTCCATGTTTTATGAACAATGGGTGCAGTAGGTTCCAAAGAGAAGACAGTATTGCAGATCAAACCAAAGGCAGGAGTTTCTTTTTCTTTCTGCTTCAGGGTTGAAGAGGGATCCTCAGTGGCTTGCAAATTTAACTAAATTGTGAAAGCAGTCGCCATTCCAAAGATTCGTGTAAAAAAAAAAAAAAATGAGAGGACTTTGTCATGAAACCTTTCATTTTTTTTTTTTTAAGAAGTCAATTGGAGATTTTTTTTTTTTTTTGGCATTCTTTTGATTGAAAAGTGAATAACCAAAAAGGACTTCCTGCTCAATATCTGGCCCCCTGTTCTTTGAAAAATCCAAGTACCAAAATTCAAATGCTCCGAGTCTGTTATTTGTGCCACTGGGATCCCCCTCAATGTAGCCACAGGGTCATATTTGTTAAAACTTAAAAAAAAAAAAAGAAAAAAATACCAATTAAAAATGCTGTAGTCTTTGGAGTAAGATGTTGCATATTTTGCCTTTCATTTCCCCCCTCGACGGTAACGCTTAGGCCCCTCACCAAACTCTCAGTAACCATGGTAACTGTATACAAACCATGCTGGCGATGGTGCTGAATGGTAAGTGGTGAAGTCCATCTGCCGTTTCACGTATTTAGTGCTGATATATCTCTATACATATCTATCTACCACGTGGAGTTTTCTGACTTGTTGTATTAAGTTTTCTTGATGCTCTATTTTTTTGGATATTGGTACGCCTGTAATTGAGTGTACGTTCTAAGCTAGCCTGGGAGGCTCTGACTGGATTGAGTTATGACCGGTGCACATCTTACTCAGATTGTTAACTCCATATTGTGTTACACAATGCACCCTCTCTTTTATCCTTTTGTTAGCTGTGACTTTAAAAGCTTGAATGATTTGTTAATTCCTGCGATGTTCAAGGCTCTCGTTCCAAGTGTTGAATGCTATATGTTGCTTCCAGATGGTCCTTCCCTCCCAAAGTGTTGCACACGGCTTAAACTTGTTTGTCCCTTCTTTTGACATTTATGTTCCCTGTACCTTGTCTCTTCCCTTTCTACTCCACTGCATGTCCCTTCATATGAACTTTATTTTATGTTTAAGAAAAAAATGATTTCTTGTTTCTGTGTCACCATGGAGTACACGCATGCTTTTAAATCTTCAATTATGCCGTATCTTTTAATTTTGCTTTTACTGTCTCTTTATTAAACTTTTAAATGAGATGACATTGCTTTATTGAAATGATTTGTAAGTTAAAATGGTTATGAAGTAAATGTAATTATAAAAATGTATGATTTTTTTGTTATGCACCTATATTGCCTTTTATAAATTAAAATGCATTTTAGTTTTTTAGTTTTGTTTTTTTCTGTTTTTAATAAGTAATCACAGTCATAATGCATGCAACTAACTGAACTGAAGGCCGGCCCTGGAATATGCGCTCATTGGAGTTTTCTATGTGCGTAGGTAAATAATGCCACGGCTCGCGTCATGACAAATAAAAAGACCGTGAACCCCTATACAAACGGTAAGTAGACCCTGCCTTTTGTGAGAAATCCTCTCAAGCTCTACAACTGTTACATTACTTAACCAGGGACCCCTTGCCTCTCCCTGGCCCCTGTGTCCTTCTGGCTGACCTGCAGCAGGCAGCACCTAAATCAATGGGATAATTTTCACAGCAAAGGCAAACCTAGTTTTCAGGTTAAGTGTGCTTGCCCTCCTCCCGCCTCTCTAGAGGACTCCCACACAGGATGGAGATCCAGCAATTATCCGGGAGTTTGTTGGGTAATTTGTTGTTACTCTATTAAACTGCAGGAGGAGGGAGGTTTGACTCTTCTGCCCTTTTAGCCCCCATGTCCCGGTTGATCACTGCTCATTCCTAGAGGTGTGGCCACTCAATGTGGTTGTGGCTTTGAGTCTTCTCCAGAGATGCCCAGCGCCTGGGGTGCCTGGGAGGGTGTCTTCTCATGAGTGAGTCGCAGTGGGAGAGCAGAATGTGTGAGTGGGCCACGCGTGCCTTGCCTCTCTGTGTGCCCAGGGCCACTTGGCACCAGGGAAGGAGGTGGCAGTGTATTGCAAACCCCTTTAGGACAGTGCAGTCCTGTTTCTACCAAGAAAGCTCTTCAAAACTCACAAAACCAATCCATATGGATATGATACCTTATTAAAAATGTTCAAACATTTTGATTCTTTAATCCTCCTCAAAATAATCTCTCTTAAGGTGTTCGTGGGGAAATTAGTTATACCAATCACATTCTGAATCATATTAGAAACTAAAAAGAAAGTAACACAGTAAATTTAAGTGCATACATTTAGTAGAATATTATACGCATTAAAATGAGCAGGATAAAGGCAAGGAAGGGTCCTACCATAAGTAAAAATATTTAAGTAACAGAAAAATATGTGGATAGTCTGATCTCATCTAAGCAACTTCACAAAATGCTAAAATTTCATTGAATTGTGAGATAAGAAAATATTTTCTTGGGCTTATATGTTTTTAAAAATGATATAATTTTATTACAATCAAAGGTAAAAGTATATGAAATATCTGAAGTTTTAATTATACATGAAATATGGAAACAGAATTCTTTAAAGAAAGAAAACAATTTCAAAAGAAGGAAACATTCAAGACGGAGCCAAAGTCTTTTGACTAGTACTACTAGTACTACTAGTACTACTGCCAGCCTGTTCTCCTCTGTCCCACTCAGAGGAAGCAGTTACAGGTTTTTGCTTTCAGCTTTAAGTTGTATTTTTATGTTACACGTATAGTAGATATAGCTTAATAGGATTCACAGCATTGTGTACAAATTTTTGACATAAATGGTGCATTGCTTTTAATGGGCCTTGATAAATCAACGTGGAGTCCTTCCATTAATACATAGAGATCCAAAATAATTCTTTTGGGTGGTTACATAACATTCCACAAAAATGGATATGGTGTATTGAGAGTCTCACTGCAAACAGATGCTTTATTGTTTGCATTTTTGCATTTGTTTAAGTGACACAAACAATAATATTAGCATTTGATACTTTTTGTTCTTCCTCTTCCTTCTGCCCACGGCTATGTAGACATAGTCAATCTGTTCTTAATTTAGAAAGGGGCACCGTTATATTGAGGGCAGATACACTACAGTTGACCACCCTTGATATAATGTGGCTTTAAATTGAAAGACCACAGAATTGTTTTTCTTCTCGCCACTTTTCCTGGTTTCAACAATCCAAAAGAGACCCTTAAATGGTGTGGACAATTTCAACAACTGACCTTGAATTCCCAGCACTAAAGAGAATTGAACCTCTGATTTATGTATCAGGAGCCCCATCTCTTTGGGTAAAAACTGTAGCTCTGCAACTTGCCCATTGTCTATGGTGACGTAAGCCTGACTGTTGTGCATTTTCTTGAGTTATGAAGTCACAGCTCTGTGTGCACATGCGTGGAAGCTCAGGTGTGTGGGCCTGCCTGGCGAAGGTGCATGTGTGCCAAGTGAGAAACCAGGAAGCCAAATATTATTCTGTAAGCCATGGGAATACATGCATATACACATTGATTTTAAAGTAAGAGTTACAGATCCATAACTATGGAAAGCATACCTGTAGTACTTTTGGACACAATTCAAAGCCAGTTCATAAATAGTCAACCCTTCTGGAATTCTCTGTATGCATTCTGAGAAGTATTCTAAAAGCACCAAATGAAAACTTGCAAAAAGGACACCATTCATCCTATTTTAGAGAGAGTAAAAACTGAGCCAAGATGAGACAAGTAATTAATGAAGTCTTTTCTTTTGATTAGGAAGTAAATATCACCACTATAAATAAAATGTCCCATAAATTGCAGTGTGGTATTAACTGGGAAACCACAAGGTCCTTAAAATCCTCAGAAGATGGTACAGGTATGGGGAAGAAAGATCAATCAGGACCCAGGAAGTCATGTTAAAGTGAAAAAATAAAGCTATCACTGAGGTTCATTCATTAGCTGTATAATTATCACAAACCATGGAAATCATGCTTTAACGGAATTACAAATTATTGGTCCTCCAAGTTTCAAGTTATCTTCAAGTGGAGGAATATAGGCCTCAGGGCCCACATCCCACCCACGAATTCTTTCCATCATGTATCCAACCAAAGTTTCAGCACCTGAGGAGCTTCCAATGATGCCCAAGACTTGACCTCAGATGCAGCGAGAGACACGCTCCTGGGAGGTGCTGCTGTGGAGGATGATGGTCAGTACACCTATGGAGTGCGCAGGTTCTATTCCCAGGACTTTTACGCATGGATGTGAGAGAGTGCTGTGGACGGAAATACAGGCTTGGAAATTGTACCTGTCAGAAAGCTCTGCAAAGAGGGAATCACACCATCGACTCATACACCCAAGAAGACCTACCTGCACAAAGGAGCCGAGTGCCCTGTGTACACAGGTATCAAGAGCTGGATCTGCCAATCGAGTTAAGATCTGGATATGGAGGGTGAAGCCTGGGCATTAGACATGACTGCTTCATTTCTTAGAGATTTTTAGAAGCGATGAACAGTGAACCTAAGCCTCCCAGACAATAGAGAGAGGGGGACTCTGTTTCCTCCATCAGTCAGCTGTGCTCCTCACTGGCCTTTGAACTGGATGCAAGTTGTTTCAACTCAACCCACACCAGTTTTCTCAAGTTGGAACTGAACATGTCATGGGACCTGAACCTATCACGCTGTCATAGATACTCGTCATCCGTATGGGAGAGAAAGCACTCCACCCAATGTTAGGTGTGCAAAGCACCCTGATTATTTTTTCACAATGATTTGTACTACAATTTTATTTAATTACCCAACAATCTCAATACTAAGTAGTCATCTTGTTCCTTTTTCACTGTGGATGCTAATTCCTGATAGGCACCAGTTTAAGGATCCAGTATCCAGACCCTAACAAGGACTGAGAAGACAAAATGAACAGGCCAGAGAGGGTCTGGGAAGCTCAGTCTTGAACCGTCTTTCATTATCTAGAGACCCCTCCTCGCTGACAGAGCTGTCTGGGGGATTCTGAACTCAAAGTGGCCATCTCTAGCACCATTTCCAGAGCACCAGAAAGCATGTCTTTTTGATAGAATCTAAACGTTGGTCATAAATCCACATTTAGGAAAAAATGAAACAAATATTACGTCAACCAAACCCAAACTCTCCTGTAAATGATGTGCAATTACCAATTAGCCTCCCTTCCTTTTGACATCAGGGCTCTGTCTCCTGCACCCTTGCTGCATCCTTTAGGAAGCCCCCCCCCCCCCCCTGCAGGTTTTGAACCCCTGGAGGGTGTTTGAGAGTACTTTCTGGAATGTGATTTCTTTGATATTCAGCCCAGCAGAGCCCTGGAAAAGGCCACGTGTGTTTTGGGCTCCTGTTAATTCACATTAGGGGTAGCCCACACTGGGGGGTTCTGGTCTGTTCTTTAAAAAAGGATGGCAAGCTAAATTTGGGGCAAGAAGTGCTTGCTGATTTAGATGCAGCTCCTGAGGCCCAACCTCAGGGGGTTCTCTCTAAACCACTCCTGTGTCTGGTTTGGAGCGAGACCCAACGTGCCAGGGCTCTGCTCCATTGCCTTGTTGTAGGGAGGCCCTGGGATGCTGGGAGTGGTGGGCTTTATCCGCTTTTCTCTTTTTTGTTGTAAGCCTCATTGTTCAGTTTAATGTCCTTGATCAAAATCTCTGAATTTGCAAGGCCTGGGGACATACACAAACTGCCTAGGAAATTTAAAACGGGATCATTTTCCCGTCTCCCTGACAGTGCAGGCTCATCATCTCCAGCAGGGTTATCCCAAGGGTCTCTTCCAGGTACTAGAAGGAGTTGCAGAAACTACGGGTTCATTTGCATATGATTTGCATTCATTTACATAAGCCTGCACAAGGTCTGTAAAACTGAGCAGAGGTGATATTAAGGGCTGGATTCTCATTGCCTCTCCCTGGAAGACAGTCAATTGCTAGCAGGTCCTTCATTAGACATACAGCGTCTACCAGGAAGTAGGTCGGCGAAGGGTGGAAGGAAACCACCTGAGCCCAAAGACAACGAGTCCGTTAGAGAGAGCTCTGTGTTCCTTCTGCTCTTTCAGAAGGAAACCAAGGAAATGTTTACGGAGCACCTAATATTTGCCTAAAAAACTTTTCAGTTGGTGGGGATTCATGATGGACAGCAGTTCCTGCTCACTTTTACCATTCATTTTAATGAGGTGGTTATAGAAAATAAGAACAAACACAGAAGAAAAATGAAAATTCAGGTGGTGTTAAACAGCCATGCAAAAAATATAACTGGCCATTGAATCAAAGAAAAACCCTTCTAAGAAAGGTGGGAAAGCAGCATACTCTGGGAAGAATTCGAAGATCTAATGCACCAAGACAACTTTGTGAAGAGCTGCGTAGAGTTCTCCAGGCACAGGGGGGAAAGCCTGAATCCAGAATAGTCTTGGGTGGTTTTATTCAGATTGGAATGGCCCAGTGCCACTGTGGCTTGGAGAGAAGAGGACAGTGGTACAAAACGAACAGGCAAAGGTCAGAGGGTGTGGGCTTCTAGACCAAAGCAAGGAATCTGTGTTCGTCCTGGGTCCAGAAAGAAGCTGTTGAATTCTGAGCAGCAGAGGGACACATCCTAATCAACTTCTCACACATCACTGTGACCACTGCAGTGGGGCCAGAGAGGGAGGGAGGAAGAACAGGGAAGAGCAGTAGTGAGCTTGCTGGGGGGCATGTCTGGCAAGAGGTAGAAGTGTCCCGTCTGGGACGGTGGCGGTGGAGAAGAAGGAAAGAAGTTTTCTAGGCCCAGAAGCATATTCTCTAGTGGATTGCAAATCCCATATGAGGACCAGGAGGGAATGGGGAGAACTGTTCATCAGGAGTTATTTTGAGGGGACCAGGGGATGAAGACAGCTCATTTGACTTGGGAAGGAACAAGGCGTCAGGGTTGCAGAGATTAGAAGCTGAGTTTTCATGCCTGTCCTACCATTGAGAAAAGTCCCTGATGTCCCTGTGGTGGGAGGGGAGCAGCCTCATTTAGGGGAAAGGACAGGGACAGGAAGAATTGTGATACCTGCACTGATGCTCCTGCAACCAGCCAAGCAGAGGCATTACCTTTTGTAGCTCACACATTCCAAGTTGGATTCTTGCAGAGGAGACCTCATTGCTCACCTCTCTCAATTGGTGGCTCAGATGTGAGATGGCATGGACGACCTGACCAGGGAGAATGGCATTTAATTTATATTAGTCTTAAACTGACGGCAAATTTTCCATGAGTACACTTGGCAAACATATAGGCAGAGAGATGATAGGTAGGTAGGTAGGCAGATAAAAAATCCATGACAGATGGATAGACAGGCAGATAGGTGCCAAATCGGCAGGCAGACAAGTTAGTTGAGAGGTAGATACATAAGCAGTCGATAGATAGATAGATAGATAGATAGACAGACAGACAGACAAAGGGATGAATGGATGGATGGACAGATGGGTAGATGGATGGATAGATGGATGGATGGGTAGATGGACTGATGGATGGGTAGATGGACTGATGGATGGATGGATTTTTGGCCCAAATAAACAAGGAAGATGAAGGCAGATGAGAATAATGAGATTTCTGGACAGTCTTAGACACCTCTGAGAAATCCACTTCTTTAAGATAATAAAAGGCCATTGGCATTATTTCCAGTCTTTGACAGTGACATCAAAAGTAATAGTGTGCCCCAGGATTACCTACCAAAAAAACGTATGTAGGGGAGCTAATGAGGATGTATACAAGAAACAAAACTTGAGTTTGGGGATGAACAGACTTCATCTCCATGGTCCAAAAAATAGGACCCTAAACAGGTGTGAGATGGAGAAAAAGGGGCAGGAGAAGGAGAAGAATCACTAATTCCTCAGTTTGTGTGATTCCAGGTATTTCAGCTTTCTAGACTTCCGTGAAGTACTAGGAAGATAGAAAACATTAAATATGTCTACACCTTGAATGCAAACTCACTGCTCTATCTTTTTCTTGACTCCAAATAACTTGAGATGTGGGTGTGAGCCCCATGTCCCCACTTCTTTTTTTGGAAGTGGTGGAATTTCAGTGAGTGAAATTGAAGTCATTTTGCACATTCATTAGAAACATGCTGTGAATTCTTTAAGGCAAAACATGGTGAGTGTGAAAGAGGAAGGTGTCACATGTAAATACTTTTAAAAAGCCTTAGAACTTCTTGTCCCCTTCTGTACGTCTAAAAGGGAGCCCAGGAGTCCCCATTAATACCTTGCAGGTGATCCAAGTTCTCTTTGAAAAACTTTATCCTAAGAATGCAAACCATTCAGCTCTTTCAGGTTAGAACTGAAAGTTCTCAGAAGCAACACATTTCTTAGAAAGTTCTGGATCTTGAAAGATCCTGGGGCCTCTGTTTTACTCAATGGATCTCAGGAACACCTCTCAGCTGCTCAGGGAGGTGCCTTACTTAGGCCAGGTAGAGAGTCAGACCACTTTCCGGAAAGTCCCATAGAGTTCTTGTTTTTGGAAATGTCTTCCTTCACATCCAGGGTCACCATCTCCCTTTCTCAGGAGCTTTGGTATTTGACTTTCTGCTCATGGACACAGGCAGAGCTCAACTTCAGCCTCCTCTGTTCTTCAAGAATCCTATAATGAGCCAGGTGTGGTGGTGCATGCCTGTACTCCCAGCAACTTGAGAGGCATGAGGATGGCGAACTCAAATCCAGCCTCTGCAACTTAGTGAGGCCCTAAGCAACTCAGTGAGACCCTGTCTCTAATAAAATATAAAAGAGTAGCTGGGGATGTGGCTCAGAGGTTAAGCACCCTTGGGCTCAATCCTTTGTACCAAAAAGAAAAGAAAAAAAAGAAGTCCTCTAGTGTATAGTCTCCCACTCCTGAAGACTTTCCAATAGGAAAGACCACAACTCCCAAAGATGGTCATTCTGAGGAGATGTTCCCTGGGTCACGTCCACGGGTCTGTAACCTGCGTCTCCACTTGTGAATTTTCTTGTCTGATCTTTTCTCGAGAAAAATTTCTGAAGGGCCAGGACTCGTTTTAAAGAAAACTTTCCATCCAAAGCATTTGGAAAATTACAGGATTCTGTTAATCTCACAGACAGGGTGTTTGAAAGTTACCTTAGATATCATGTGCTGATTAAGAATTTTTATGGCTCCTGGATGCATTAAAATATATTCCACACTAAATCTCCAGGGGATAAAGTACCATTTTCTTCGGTATTCATAAAGCACTTCAGAATTCCTCTAGTCCCAGGGTCATAATTAGGAATGATAATCGTCCGAGTATGTTATTGATATGGTAGAAAATTAATTACATCATTTTCAGAAGGTTCACCTGGAGCTGGCTAGCAGTTTCCATCCCATTAACTTGTGTTGGCAGAAAATCAAAGAAGGGCATAAATCCGTTTTAATGTATAGTTTTCAAATGCAAATATTTTAATGCATTCCCCAAATATATATTCTTTAGTTGTTTTTTTTTTTTTTAAATCAGAAAAACCTTCAACCGGTTTGAATTGCGGCTACTTTGCAGTGATGAAAGTTGTTGACTCCAGGTGGTAATAACGCTTTTGCTTATTTGTTTGAAGGCTGGAAATTGAATCCAGTTGTGGGTGCCGTCTACAGTCCCGAGTTCTATGCAGGTAAAAACAAGTTCTCTTTGGCATGCTGCCCCCTTGGTCTCCCCTCTATGTGCTTTGCCTGCTGGTAAATAATGGGTTTTTGTGAAATAATCTGAACCCAGTGAATCCCTGTCCTAACAAGTTCTGAATGATTTCCTGGGGCAAAACCAACAGTGTTTAAAACCCTTGAAAAATTAAAGGTGCACTGTGTGAGTTACCGGGCCCTGATCCTGGGACATTTCACTTTGGTTTCGTCCTGAGAAAGCATTGAGGCTTTTGTTCAATTGCATTTGAACACAGGGAGAGGGGTCCATGCCCATCATTTCTATGTGCCTGGATGTGTCTTTTAGTCACTCATTTCCATTTGAGGTCACATTTTCGTTTTCCTGGCAAAGCAGAGAGTCGGCCTAATTATGCCCATAACCCGACAGCCCGTGGGCCTACGTAAGAGAAGGCCTGTTTAAAATACTGGGAAGGATCATGCTGTCTTTCTTTCTCAGTTAACCAATGTCCCTTAGCAATTTCACTTCTCTCTACTTTGCCTTCAGGGTGTGTCTCTGTCCTCACCCCTTCCCTGCCCTGGCACCAACCACCCTCCAGAGGGAAACCACACTCTTGGGAAGCTCAGGGCCCACCTGGTGGGAGAGGGCTGCCCTGAGCATCAGCGGCTGAGGTTCCCTGTCCAGATGTGCGTGGCTGGGCCTGTCACTACTGCCCGGGGTCTTCTTGCTCACTGTCAAGTCTACACCCAACACTTAGAACCCCAGTAGTAGATTTGCCACATGGAAATGCAAAAAGAGTCTTCCTTTGATGAGGCTCTTGCTTCTGAGAGAGGAGAAGTAGATTCCCAGTTGATCTAGGGTCCCTCACTCAGCCACCTCCGACGGTAAGTCATGCCCCTGGCCTTCTTGCTTCTTGGGACACCCAACTTCTGCCATTCTGCTGACCCTGAGCCTCAGCCCTAGTGGGTGAGAAAGGAACACAGGAAGCCGAGCTACCCCTGCACTAAAAATTAAAACTGGATAACTCTGGAGTGGCTCCGTGTCAGAGCAGAGTTCTGGGTTTCAGGTCGGCCATATTTGCAGGTGCTCTTTGTGGGTGAGATTTACCAGGAGCCTGGACTAAGTCTGCCACTGTAAAGTGGAAGCTGTGTTGGCCCTTGTGGGGGAGGAGGGACACGGGACAGTCCATGGTTACAACATGGACCCCATCTCTCCCGAGAGGACACACAGAACAGCAAGGAGCACGGAAACTATACCCAGACGGCCAAGCTCAGAGCCTGGCTCCCCCGCTGGCCAGCAGTGTGGTCCTGGAAAGTTACTTAACCTCTCTGTGCCTCAGTTGCTTCATCTGTCAAATGGGATAATGGTAGTAACCAGCTCTTAGATGTTTGTTAGGATTAAAGGGAGTGACATCGTAGTTGTGCTGGCCAAATAGTCCAGCACCTTAAACACGTTTCGTAAATAAAAACAGTTAATGCAACACCTCTCTGCATGGGGCCAAATGAGCTGAGAGCTGATTTTAACATACTATTCGACTGCAAGACCCTTTTCTTAATTCAGGAGAGAATTAACTCTTTCGTTCTCAGAATGTCATTCTGGGGGCGGTCAATTCCTGGGATCCGGGGCACTGCAGTCTGTTTAGGGGCACGTGGACTCGGCAGGTGTTGCAGGAGGATATCTTGTCCAAGCCTGTAGAGACGTGACCTCTCCCGAGTGGTCTGAGAGCAGACGCTGCCCTGGGGAGGTGGCGGGTTCTCCGTGCACAGGTTTTCTCCCCTAAGTGATGGGGTCAAGAACAGGAGGCAGGAGGGCTTCCTGTGGTGGCTGGTGACGCTATGGGAATTGTGATAAAGGAAGGTGCACGTTTCGCGTCCCATGCAAGGTAGCTTCTGTCCTGCGTGGCCTTCTTAACCAGGAAGACTCCAGGGATTTCCTTGAGGTCCCACGTGTGTGTCTGTGTTGTTTAAGGGGACATTTAGATCGGAGCCACAGTTCCGATGGATGCACATGTACAGGAAGGAACTGGTGGTGTGCACTCCTTCTAGAGCACTGAGCAACATTCAGAGTAGCTCAGGGCCCAGCCTGAGGAGCAGGGCCGTGGGGGAAAGAGCAAGTGTCAGGGGATGATGTTTTCTGAGTACTTGGTACCTCCCCGTAGAGGCGCTGTTCTCTATACGTGACACAAATGAATATGCGCGGCCCTCAGGACAGTTTGTAAAGGAGAAAACTAAGGTACCAGACGTCTGTATTGCTGGGCTACAATTCACCGCTGGTCAGAAGCAGGCCACATCTCTAAATCCGGCTTTAATTGTCCCGGAGTTCTGTACATCCAGGGTAGAGGATTTCATAACTTTGGGGATGGATACAAACAGCCGTAATTTCTCTTGTCTGGGTCCTGTGATCATGCTACCTCTCTGGGTCCAAACCAGACACTTAAAAGAGGACACATAATCATTCTGGATTATTCCAAACCTTACCACCATATCCCAGGGCGTATTAATTGGGTGTGTCAGGAGAACCTTATAGGAGCCTGAACAACGGAAGGTTTTTGCTATGAGGGATTCCAATAATAAGGAAGCAGAGCTTGGGAGAATAAGCGTTAGCTGGAGAAACCTAGGTATTTGTGCTTGATGCCTCAGATACCTGGATCACCTGCAAGGCCAGGTGATCTCTCTCGTCCCTATTTGTCCCATCTGCGTAGACAGAGTCCGTGATATTCAGAAATATGAGCAAACATCTGCAGTTCCACCACTTTCGCACAGTTCCTTTGAAATATTTGAAGACCTACAAGCTCTGAGAAGCTAAGGAGCTTAACCCTCACATTTCAGGCACTGCCTGTGCGGGATGGATGGATGGATGCAGAGGTGGAGATGGGGAGGCATTCATCTCCATCTCCAGGCATAACCAGCATCTTCCATCTCTAGATTCATGACTGTGAATTTGTGGGGCATTTTACATTTCCCTAGCTATAAAAATAACTTGGCTTCCTCTTGCTGTTTGGGGTGTGTCTGATTGCTGAAATGAAGACCTTTTCACCAGTTGGCTTTGGGTATTGAGTAGGCCAGCCCTGTGTCTGCCTAAGATAGAAGGCCAGCTATATTAGTCATCTCTGTATGAAAGATGTTGTGTTAATGACAAATTTCATAATATTCCCTTAGCATAATTATTGATTTTCTGATGCTTATGCAGAATTAACAACCCAGCCTCCAATTGTCTCTCAGAATGGGGCGTGAAAAGTTCACATATTTTGTAAATTAAAATCAATATTTTCAATCTCTCCTAAAGGTAATTTTCCTAATTTAGTGGACTTTTCCCTAACATTTATTTTCTCTTTTAATTATAAAATGGCAAGTTATTGATTTTTGTGTATAACCTTTTGATGCCCCGAGTGCTTTTTTATTGCTAACGCAGGGTGGGTGTGGGGAAAGCAGTTCACTTCTTAATGAGGACCTTTAATTACCAGCTGAACAGTATTAATTTGCTTTGATAAATTATGACATTTGCTCTCCCTCACACACATTCCAGGGGAAGCATTTTGAAAACTGTTATAAAAGGTCTTTCATTTTGGAAGTTTTTTTTTCCTCCCCCCTACCCCCCCAAATTCTCCTCAAGTCATACCTAGATGAACTCTTTAAAATTCTTGTTCAATACCAGGCTTCTAAAGCAGATGTACATAAATCAGCATATCCCATGAACATATAGAAATTTTCTCCAAAGACAGGAGGGTGTTTTCCTCGAAAGCTAAGTAGCTTTGATTTTTTTTCCTGGGTCTAATCATCTGCAGCCCCCTTGAGGCATAGTCTCCAGGCAAATGTAATCAGTCAATTAGGACCCAGGTGGGTCTTGAAGACTTTGGCCTACCTTTTAGAGTTTCAGTATAACTGAGGGCTGTAAGTGGAAGAGGAATAGCTGTAGATGTGCACTCTCCATAGATACCTCAAGTTACCCAGTGTGATTAGAAACAGCACTTCCAGGAACCCGGATGTAGAGACCCCCAAGGGAATTCTTACACTGACCCTGCAAGTGTCCTTGCCGTCTAATAAACAGGTCCCTTTCCAAAACGAATGTCTTCTGCAGATATTCATGATACCTACCCAACAAAACTATTGATTTAGAGTACCTCCAATCTTCATAAATAAGTAAAACAGAATAAAAATAAATAACAGAAGGTTATACAGAGTTGCCGGCGTGGTCCTGACAAATGGCAAATTTATCTGTTTCTCAATTGCCAGCAAGATACACACCGCAGAGCTCCCCACACTACATCATCTCAGCCAACTCATTTCTGTGATTAAATATTCCATCAGTGGGGCTACAAGGCAGCAAAGCTTAACAAGATTCATAAGATGCACCACTTGAACAGACATAACTCACTTCCGTGGTGGGCACACACCCCGCCTGCAAAGGAAAATTGGAATTGAGTTCGATTACTCCATGAGATTCGATCGATAGGGAAAGGAAAGGATCTTTTAATGAAATGCAGATCTAAGACCTGGTTAGATCCTGACAGCAAGAGGCATACAATTAAAGCCCAAGGTAGAGAGAGCTGGACAAATCACATGGACAATGACGCTGAGCAGTATTAATGTCATCATCGTTATTATCAGGATGGGCGGGGGAGGTCCCTATAGGTACACTCCTGAAAATAAGAAGTTCTAGTTTTGAGAAAAAAGAACGACAGGATCTTAAAAAAAAAAGGCCTGCCTGACTGCAGAGACCCATTTGAAAGGTGTTCAGGTCTTGGAATGAGCTCATCCTGGGGAGGATCAGGTACCGTAATGAGTGTCCAAGAACTTCAAGGGCTGTAAGTGAAATATAAATATAAAGGGCTTAGTGTGATCGCTAAAGTCACCTCCACTGATGACATCCACGCCGGTCAGACATGGCCATGGACCACATGACTTGGCACCCGGCTAGGAGACGGGACGGTGGATGGGTCTCAGCTTGGAGTTTTAAAGTGAGAGGTTGGATATAGCACTCTGTGATTGCTTATCTCAGAAGGGCAGCTGCACTTGACCT